CTATCGTGCTGGACTGAGTGCTGCTGGATTCCATTACCGTGTAAGAACCAATTCCAACCTGTAAATATCTTTTATGTCAGTGTTTATTTCGCATCACGGGTATATTTATAGCTTACGATACCAATGAACCGTTCCTATTGAAGACGGCTGTCAGCATTATTCCACTTAATAATAATTGCTCAGGTTATAGACTAACTATTAACTGAACCATGTATGAAGAATTAAGATATGAGCCGAGGCTTGTGCTAAAAATAATTAAATTCAGATTCTCTAAAATATTATCTCTGTATTTGTACCATTAGACTTTGAAACTCATCTTTTTGATAAGATTAATTTTCATTATTTTTATCTTATTTTTCGACGATTCTTTAACAGTGTATTCACTAACTATTCAGTCAATACGCAATTACGCACATGAATTTATCCGCAGAATTTAACATTTTGATGACATCTTGTTTATTTTTGAAATATTCCTTTTGATTGGTTTAGAATCAATGGGTGCATCTTTAATCTGATTCTTTGAATGAATTAGGAGGGGAGGGTTAGCACGTCGCACATACTATTTATAGATCCTAGCAACCAGAGTATTCTTTTGTATGCGTCACTCAGAATTGTTTATGGTTATTTTATCATGATAGTTTTCGACCAATTTGTTGCAGATAAATCTTTATTTTTTGTGCCTTATCCCCGTCAAAGTGAAGGCTTCTGCTTTCACATCAATCCAATCCAAATGAATTGTAGGACACTTTTGACTTTGAAAGTAAAGCATACCTCTTATAATTCATATATTTTGGGGATAAGTATTATAAATACATATATGCTTGTTATATAAAAGATGAATTTTCCATTTTACTTTTGAGATTGCATGCGCAGCCTTGGCTTGATTCCTTAAATCAGTGATTTCCAAACTGTGCGCCGCGGCCTCTACAGCGGCGCAGCGAAATATTGTAAAAGCTTCAATTTCAGAAAATTTGCAGTGATTTACAGGCCCATCCATCACATTAATTATTAAATATTAATTTAATGTTAATAAAGTAAATAAATAATTAAGGTATATGAGTTTTATTTATTTTTTATCTCTTACTTACGAATAGTCATACTTAAGGTAGGGCGCCATTGAAAAATTTTAATTGCAAAGGGGTGCCGCGACTAGGAAAAGTTTGGGAACCACTGCCTTAAGTAATGATTAAATCGAAGCTTCATTTTCGAACTCATACATCTACTGTAGTTATATTCGCTTTACCTATAAAACAGATTTTACTGATTTTTTCTCCACTCCTCAACCTTCTATTGCGTGCAAGCGAATTCCATCCATTCCTGTTTTTAATTTCCTCTTTTTTTATTATTTTCTTAATATGCACGAATATTTACGTGTACACACGCAATTTTCCTATCAGTTTCCTCGCAAACGCCCGTGTCCCGACATAGCCTACACTGATCGCCTTCATAGTGCCGAACTTGCTTATTATTTACGAGCACGCCTTCCATCTCCTGAAGGCTCCGTTAGCAGACGCGCCAGTGGCAGCGGGTGCGCCAGACAACTTAATAGACAATCGGTAGGTGAGAGAAGGGCACGTGCCGTCGAAGCAAATAGAGGTCAGGCTCCACAGAGAACTAGTACAGAAAACCGCAAGGTTGATGTGGTTCTACCCCAGGATCCATCCGGCTCATTTGCACCCAATGACAGCGATACTGCCGACAATGCCAAAGATAGCCAAACAAGTAAGCCAGCGTCGGAAATTCATTTATTTGTTTGGTATTTCGGAGCTTATTTTGAGAACAACATTTTGCAATACATCCCTTATAATAGCTTTTAAGTTTAGGCAAACAAAGGGTCGTGTTTTCAGTTCACCAAAGTTGGTTCAGGAGAGTTTTGACTTATCATCGTTCTCTGTTGGTACAAAGATTCGGAAGCTTTTATGATGGGTACAAACTCTATCTACTAATCTATTTCTTTTGCGCAAAAAATCGTGCGAAAATTCATGAGTTGGCTTCATCAATTATTGAGTTGCTGCGATCTTTCTCCATTTTAACAGTGATTTTTGCGTAGCGGCCATTGAAATTTTGTTCCCCTTTTGTAATCATCATTTCATAGACAAATATCCTTCACAGATTAGTTTGCGTGTTATGAAGCCTTTTCTACTAGAAATTGGCTCTAACCAACGACTTTTCTTTGTCTAAGCAAGACATGAGTCCCTTAATTAGGAGTTAAATGAGATGAATATCTTAAGTAGTTATTCGAGGCCCAGTCTTTCGGCTTATCTTCAGAATTACTTATGAGATTGTTTACTCGGTTCTTTAGATTTTAAATTTTATTGGCACTTTGAACTGTAAACTTCCTCCAGTTTATCTTTCCACGATCATTTAAAGAGAATAAGAATTTTCCATCGAATAACATCTCATTGTGATTAGCAAAAGCGAGTTTTTGTCTATACAGATTGCAACTTTATATTCAAATAGCTCCCACCGGTACCACAAATAGAATCCGAAATCCAGATATGGGATTCAAGGACAGACGTTATGCACTGTCCTTTGTGTCGTACTTCTGTCGCTCAAGGGTCTTGAGGGTATTTTTGTGTTTCTTTAAATCCAATGTTCCGTTTTTGAGTGCTATTGGAGTCGTTGATACTGCCAAAGCAGATAATAATGCCTTTTGTTGGTAACTTA